TCCTACACAAATACAAATCACTAGACTGTGGGCACTGTCATTCAAATGCTGAAATGCAGACTGGACAAGATCTGTTCTCTATGCACCATCCTGGTAAAAAGAGTGTTTCCTCTTACAGATAGATATGGATGGTTATAGGGCTGGACAATAATTCAATATCAATATGTATCGCGATTTCAGATAAATAGTGTTCATATCGATATCGGAATTATATCGTATCGACCGAAATTAATAAATATATCGTGATATCAATTTTGGCCATATCGTCCAGCCTAGATGGTTATATTCGGAACAGTATATGATTTCTGTGCGATGAATACTATGTACATAGGCTGCGTCCGTGGTATGTATAATTGGATACTCTCTGAGTAGGTATTTCTTTTGAATAAGCACTTGCTTATGCAACTGTAAAATATGTATGTTGTATGTAGCATGAATGCAATCCTGATGTACTACATTAGTCATGTTGTCAGTCATGTGAACTACAGCATCAGTTGCATCACTTCATTGCCATTCACAAATCCTCTCCTGTGGCCTCATGGGATATTAAAATGTCCACTGGATGTGCACTTCAGCATCTCGTCAGTAGTAGTCAGTCATCTGGGTACTTTGCCTACTGTTTTATGAATACTGTAAATTTAGACATACGTCTCGCACAGTTTTTTCCCCCCTGCTTTATAGTAAGGAAGTATTTATATTCAGATACGGCCATTGTGTACATTTTCTGAATGTCTGAATTTCCCAGACAACCTATTACGTTTGCCAAATTTTTTTAGTATATGATACTATATCTCCCATATCTTGTAGTATACGACATATCTTGTAATATATGATACTATAATTCCCATAATCCCATAAAATGACTTGACCTTTAATTTAATAAGTTGATAAACTAGTGTGACAAATGAACAAAATGCAATACAATGCTTTTAAGAGTCACTTTAACAGTTTATTTCAAACTTCTAATATAAAATAATGAAATGTACACTTGATATGTAACTTGTAGTCAGTTGCAAAATATTTTGCTAGTATATACAACTAATTTTGAATGGTGGTCAATAGTAAACAATACTTCTAGGAACCCGAAAGTGTTCTGGCATGGCTAACAAGACCATGGTAACGAGCCAAACCTTGACCCCTTGGTTTTACAAACCACTTGTGAATGAATTTAAAAGGGTGGTTCACTGTTTTTTTTCTAGGCTTGATTGTGTTTATGGGGTGCAGTCTAACATGTGTTAATGCTCATTATGTTTTCACATAATTTACCTTTATTCCACACCGCTCTGTCCCTTCTCTGAGAAACGGGCTGATCATTTCCTGCTTTTATGAAGCCCCGCCCTCAGAAATAGATGATGGACTCTGATTGGTTAGCTAGCCCAGTGTGTTGTGATTGGCTAAACCGCCTCCAGTGCGCGTCTAAACGTCCCGCCCTTCACCTCAGCGGCATGTGCTCCGGTTGTATTGTAAACAACGGCATTGTTAATATCGCTTATCAGTTTGAGCCCGATTGAGAAGCAGAGATTATTATTGAAGAGGATCATGCAGAACCTGTGCAAGCATGGCTTTTAATGGTAGGCCTATGTTTTATGTGCTGATCAATTTCCTGCTTTTATGAAGCCCCTCCTTCAGAAATAGGCGATGGGCTCTGAATTGTTAGCTGGTCCAGTGTGTTGTGATTGGCTAAACCGCCTCCAGTGCGCGTCTAAACGTCCCGCCCTTCACCTCAGCGGCATGTGCTCCGGTTGTATTGTAAACAACGGCATTGTTAATATCGCTTATCAGTTTGAGCCCGATTGAGAAGCAGAGATTATTATTGAAGAGGATCATGCAGAACCTGTGCAAGCATGGCTTTTAATGGTAGGCCTATGTTTTATGTTTGTTGTTGTCTCATACTTTTAGATATGCTGTTATTTGTAAATGATACTGCTTATGTTAGCTTTTAATATACGGTTTTATCCTGATTAAAGCTTTAATACAGTACGGCAACTGCACGCGCGTCCATGTTTAACGCTTCTCATAGCTATGTGAAAATAAGTGTATAATTGGAACAGTTCATTGTTGGAGCTGAGCTGAATGAGAGAGAGAGAGAGAGAGAGAGATGCAGAGCGTGTGCAGAGCAGGGGGACGTGAGGAACAGTATTAAGAACTAGGCCTGTCGCGATCATTAAATAACTGTCTAATCGCGATTATTTGATCTAACCGCGGTTGTTTCAGACAACCGCGATTATTGTGCTTTTTATACGAGACAAGGGGGAGTCATACACCAAAAGAAACAGAAGAGCACCAGTTTGCTTTTCATGCACTGTATAGCCTATACAGGGCTCCAGACTCATTCTTCCCACTGGTCGCTCTTTTGCAACTACCTTTCTCAGCTGGTGGCACGAGCACATGATATTTGTTTTTTTGTTTTTTGCACTACAACATGGGATTATTCAATGCATGCTGATGAACTTTTATCATAGTTTATAGTT